CTTGGGTCAATACTTTATGGAACCAACTGACTATTTTGATGCCCCCATGTACAAAATCCTGCACTTCTTTTGAAGCGCAGGATTGCTGAGGGCATAATCAAAAGGGGAAGTACAATAGACCACTGTAGGTTGTGGTGCAAGGGCCGATAAGGACTACCCCTCATACATTCATTCATTCATTAGATAAACAAAAAACATTAACTACTTGAGTAAACTATTTCCATTAGGGTCTTCTTCTTCTTCTGTTTCTGCTTTAAACAGATTCCAGTTTCTACTCTAATTTTACAGTACTATTCATCTTAATTTTCTGAATTGGATAGGTTTTCCAGCAAGCACAGTTTTCTTTAAATGTATATGCTGTACCTTCTTAAATTTATCAGTTCACTGGCAAATGCTTTTTCAAGTAATATCTGGTTTTCTTAAGTTCCTAAAAACAAACTCCGTGGCTTGTAGTCCACAAGTGAACTATAACGACCAAGCAACAGCCATTTGTCGGCGAAATTAATGTCAATTTTTGCAGATAGAGTGTGTCGCGTGGTCAGCGCAACTAATCCCCACAGCCATCAATCTCTGTTTTCTTGACTGGAGACTCTATTTCTTTGAAATTGCTCCTCAATTATCCTCACGAGGCTGAGTGGACCCTGTTTGAGACACACTGCTTACCAGAAATCGAACCCAGGACCTCTGGATCTGTAGCCAGGAACTCTGACCACTAGACCACAGAGATGGTCCTAAGTCCACTACGATGTTTCCTCACTGAGGAAGCTCACAACTATAAACCAAGTTTGCATATTTTTGTTCTTTCTTCTTGAAGTTTTCAGTGTTCTTTCAATTCTGATATCAACTTTATATACCCTATCTTCCTACTTTTCTTCCTTTGAACAGAGTGATACTTTCAGGCAGGCTTCTCCCATAATCTGGAAGTATCCTATAACAATGATTCCTGTGATGTGACAAACTTTCTAACAGCAGATTTAAACATGAATGCCAATCTATACAGTAATTTCATATTACAGCTACAAACCCAAAAGCTGACTCTGTTCAAAAGCAAATCCTTTATGAAAGTTCTTGTCCAAAAAAAAGTTCACCAAGAATTCCAAGCATTTTTCATTTGTGAATAATTTTGTGGTACTAAAAACTCTGAGCTTCAGTATTGTATCTTTACATTTCATTCTTCTTGAAGAAAATTATGTTTTCTAGATATACTTTGCCAACATAAGTGAGGTCAAAACAGCAAGATATTGTTTGGCTAAATGAACTTTTGAATTGAATTGAATTTATTTACATTCTATAAATCCTAAGCAGGTTAGTACCTTTGGATACAGAACATGTCAAAAGGTTACATACATAAGTACAGGCAATTTTAGCTTAAAAATTAATATAACTTAATTTTACATCATTCTCTATTTACATTGAAGTATTCATCTAAAGAGTAGAAGGAATGAGCATGTAGATAATTCTTTAACTCTGATTTAAACTTTTTAGTATCATTGCCCAAGTTTTTAATACTTTGTGGCAGATTGTTGAACACTTTTATGCCAGTAAAGTAGACTCCTTTTTGATATACTGATAAAGTTGATGAGGGTAGGTGGAAGTTATATTTTTGTCTAGTATTCATGTTATAGACATCAGAATTTAATTTGAATTTATCTTTGTTGTAAACAACAAATAAGAGAAGCGATAATATGTATTGCGATTGAAGAGGTAGAATTTTTAATTTCTTAAATAATTCTCTACATGAATCTCTACTTCTACATCCTGTAATGATTCTAATTATATTCTTTTGTATTTTAAAAATTATTACACTATGTGAAGAGTTCCCCCAAAATATTAATCCATAGTTCATAATAGAATGAAAGTAGGCATGGTAAACCATCTTCAATGTTTCCTGTGACATAAAAGGCTTAATTGATCTCATCGCATAGCAAGCTGCATTTAATTTAGGTATAATTTGTTCAATATGTATTTTCCAAGACAGTGTACTGTCTACATGTATTCCAAGGAATTTTGTATCAAGTACTTTACAGATTAATTTGTTGGCATAACTGATGTCCAGATCAATTTGGTGGTTGTTTTTAGTTGTGAATGATATGTAATGGGTTTTATCAAAATTTAATGAGAGTAAATTGGCTTCGAACCATCTGTTTAAGGCTTCAAATACAATATTTATGTCATTTTTAAAGTTTTCAAATTTAGAGTTCTTAAATATTATACTAGTGTCATCTGCATATAGAATTGGTTTAGATTTATTGTTGATGGTTTTAGATAGATCATTTATGTAGAGAAGAAAAAGTAAGGGACCTAAAATTGATCCTTGTGGAACACCGTGCTTTATAATTCCCCAGTTTGAAAATGCATTATGACTGGAGTTTTTATTATTTATTTCAACTCTTTGATACCTGTTTTTGAGGTATGATTTGATCCATTCATTAGCTTTGCCAGTTATTCCATAGAAATTTAATTTCGATAGTAAGATATCATGATTAACACAATCGAAAGCTTTTGCTAGATCACAGAAAATCCCTCCCACAATTAATCTGTCATTGAGAGCACTTAAAATATCGTTAGTTAGTTCATAGGTTGCTTTTTCTGTTGTTAGGTCTTTCCTAAATCCAAATTGCTCTTTGACTAATATGTTGTTAGAATTTAAGTGTTCAAGTAGTCTATTATACATAACTTTTTCAAAGACTTTTGAGAATGAAGTCAATATGGATATTGGTCTGTAATTAGAGATGCATTTTCTCTCTCCTTTTTTAAAAAGTGGTTTCATTACAGCGTATTTTAAGCGTTGAGGAAAAGTACCTGATGATAAAGATTTATTACATAGATGATTCAAGGGTGAACTGATGTAAACAGAGCTTGCTTTAAGTAATTTGGTAGAGATTTCATCATATCCATGTGAATTTTTGGGCTTAAGGGATTTAATAATGTTTTCAATTTCCTTCCTTGTTGAGAATTTGAGATTGATATTTGGAAATGAATTGTTAAAGGCACGAGACAGATAGTATATTGGATTATTATTATTATTATTATTATTATTATTATTATTATTATTATTATTATTGGAATATGTTTTCTCAGCTAATGAAAGGAAATATTCATTAAATGCACTTGCGATAGCTTGTGGATTGTTAGTGGACTTCCCTTCAATATTCAAACTTTGTACGTCTTCATTAACAGATTTCTTTCCTGATTCAACTTTCACAATATCCCAGGTGGTTTTAATTTTATTGTTTGATTTTAGAATTTGGCTGTTATAGTTATTCTGTTTGGCTTCTTTAATGACTTTTGACAAAATTTTACAGTACATTTTGTAGTGACTTTTTAGTCTTGGATCATTACTGTCCCTACTGGCCAAATATAGTTGTCTTTTGTGTTTACATGAAGTTTTTATTCCAATTGTTATCCAGGTGGATTTGTTTTTATTTTCATTTTTGACTATTTTTAAGGGAAAGCTTGAATAAAAGATCCTCAAGTATGTGTTCAGAAAGCAATTAAATTTAGAATCAATATTATTGCTGTCAAATACATTGTCCCATGATTCATTACTTAATTTTGTGACAAAATCTGCCATCGTATGCTTGTTGATTTTCCTTACTGTTTGATATTGTTGATTACTGGGCTGAAGGTCAATATTATTTATTTCTATGAGTTGAGCATCATGATCGGATAAGCCATTTATAAAGGGTCCTACAGTATAGTCTCTTAATTTTGAGTTATCAATGAATATATTATCTATCGCTGAACTAGAATTATTTTGAACTCTTGTGGGAAAGTTAACAGTACTGGAGAGATTGTAAGATGATAACAAAGAGTCTAAATTTAGTTTCCTATTACTGTCGATGAGATAGTTTATATTTATATCACCACAAATTATAAATTCAACTTTTGAACTATGCAGTACATTTAGGATGGTTTCTAATCTATTTAAAAAGTGATTGAAGTTTCCAGATGGGGCTCTATATAAAGTCAGTATACAAATATTTGAAAAAGGAGAGTCTAACTTTAGAGCACATGCTTCCAGATCCTGGTCTTTGCAATAATCTTCTAAATTTATTTTAGTAAATTTTAGGTTTTCGTGTACAAAAATACTCACTCCTCCTTTCTCCAGTGTTTTCCTACAGTATCTAGCACCTAAATTATAATTTTCTAAGTGAAGATGTTCTAATTCCAGCTGTTTCATGTGATGTTCAGTAAGGCACAGTATGTGTGGAAGATTTGAATTCATGGAGCTTATTAGTTCATTTGTTTTGTTTCTCAATCCTCTTATATTCTGATGGAATATTCTTAGTACTTTATTATTCACTGAATTTAGTAGACTGCAATTACCTTTTCCGATTTCTATTGGTTCACTAACATTATTGTCTGAAAGATTAGTTTCTTTTGCAATTTCTTTTACTTGATAAACTTTACTTGCACTCTTTATCCTAAAAAATGATTCTGAACACCCATGACAACTGGAATGTGTCTGCCCTTAATGCTCTCTGCAATGAGTCGCGTCAGCTTGTCCTTGCCTCGAGGATTAAGATGCAAACCATGGACAGTATGTTCGCTCCTCAATATTGAAGAGACATTGAAGAGATATTGATTTCTAGGGTAACCTCATTTAGATGTATGATGAGTTAAAACTGCATATTGCAGAAACTTAGCAATGCTGAGGTCTGGTTACGGATCTATTTTGAATACACTCAACTAATTTAGAATTACAGTACTGACCAAGTACTCTTGTTTTGACCCTGAATAACAAATTTTAATACCTTTCTGACATTGTAACTAGTTCTCTGGTATACCCAAAGGTATAAAATATTAAAAATGTCTACCACTAGACTATATCCTGAGCATTAGTCCTTCTTAAACAGAGTAAATTCTCTATAACTATTCCTATGAACAGTACAAATGTATTTCTATGCAGTACAAGCATATAATATTTCTCAGCTTACTGTATTTCAACAATTTAAAATTTATGATGAACATGAAATAAAGGGTGTCTGTAAACCTACCTGTATGCTTTTAACTTTGGATTTGCTATCATTGCAGCTTCAAGATGAAAACGGCCATCTCCCAAATAAATAAAGACGTCTACATACGACATGACAGGTGCTGTACATCCCAAAATTTCCCCTGGTGAAAGTGGTCGACTTTGAGGTAGTGTGATTTCATATCCCTCTCGTCTGAGTTCATTTGCAACACCTTGCAGTGTGGCAACAAACTGAATAGTACTCACCAAACCTATCTTCACATTTGTTGGAAAATTAAGTTTTACAGTGTTAAGGAAATGAAGAGCATCAATCTTAATATCTACAAAAATGTATAACATTTTTATACCCGACGTCTGGTCAATTGGGATCAAACAACTATGCCCATAATGAACTAAAAGATCAACTCCTAGGGCTTTCGCTGTATAATCATCGATACAACATGCACCATACGTCACATCACCCATTATGACAGTATCAGCTTCCGTGAATGTTTCAATTATATCTGCGATTGTCGTGGCAAACATAACCAAACCTTCTGGCATTTGAAGTGCAACTCTTTTTGCCCCCTTCTGGCGTATACGCCAGATTGTTTTGGGTATCTCAAAATTATAATTCTGTGGAAGAACCTTCATTGCACTATTAAGGTTAACATCGTGTAAGAGTTCGTCTGGAATCCTGTTGACAGATTTCACAATGGGTTTAAACACCTTTCTTTCGCTTTTAGCTTTCACTACCACCGCTATACTTTCTTCAGACATTGCTATATTGTACTAGATGTGCATTATTTCAATCGGTTTGTTTATAATGTATCGTAATCTAAATTCCTAACATATACTTAATGAACATACAACGATGCAGAACCACATCTCAACAGAGACCTATCGAAATGTTTCGAGCTTCTATAAATCGAATGATTTGAATATTAAATTGAACAATCGAATGAATCTATAATATTTGCATTCTGGAGCGCTGGAAGTGGTTGTTACGATGTTGTGTGATTATATATTGGTCAGCGTTTGGAGGAAAATTTCAAAAGTAAAAGAGGCTTAAACTTCGCGGCGGACAAGCATATGACCGTTCAAGTGACTAGACTGCCGTGGTATCGAATACTACTAGAAATAGGGCATAGTCTGCTGTACTGAGCCTGGACTGACAGAGGCCTTGTATATATTGTACATTGGAGTAGCTGTTAAGAATAACTTCGTAAATAAGTGTACGTACAGACAATTGACTTAATATTACCAATTATGAATGACAAATGACAGACCCGAACTCTCGTCAGAGAGGGCGCCCCACATGGACAGGACCAGACAGGACAGTAACTTTCATATAAGAAGAAACATCTGGTCATCAGCCTCAGCCGTGTCTCGACACGAAGACAGACAGACTGACCGGCCGTCAGTTGCAATGTAACATTGACTATGATTTTGACTTTGGAAACTTTCACTCGGATTTTGAGTTGATGCATACTGGTTAAGAGATGTACTGCATATGCAGGTGGCTGAATCTGTTAATATTGCCGAAAACCCATGTTTTCTGTAACAAAAAATATTTATATTTGCCAGTGTTTCCCTAAACATCAACAGAATAAATTATTTTAATAGACTTCGCCCTAACCTGAAAGAGAAAGTATCTACCTGTAGGGAGTATGTATTAACTGTGATGCACTAATAGTAATGTTACCGTTTTCAGTAAAAAAAAAAAAACAACAATAAAGGACAGGAATACAAATATGGCTGATAACGCCCCACTGTACTTGACTGATGAGTGTATTAGAAGCAATAAATTGCTGCAGCTTGCCAAACTAATCCCTGCCATACAAAATGCCATGGCTTCAGTGTCAAAAAATAGTGATGAAGTGATTCAGCCACCTAGGACACTCATGCAAATTCCATCATTAAGTGGGTAAGTCAACAAGTTCTATAATGATGCAGTTTCATTTGTCTTTCATTTTGTCTGTATGAAGCCTACAAATAAGTAACAAATCCAATCAAGCACTGCAAACAATGAATTAGACCTATTCATAAATCTTCACTGGCAATAGAGGAAAGAATATATTTTGTGTAATACTCATGTATATGCATTATTAATTTCTTAAGCTAACCACCCCAACTTAAATTAGTAGGCAAATGAATTTTTTGTCTTTATGAAACCCAAAGGCTCATTACAGTGTTCACAAAAATTCTGAGTCATTTGAATCCAAACAGTGTCCCTACATCCCATTTATCCAAAATGCATTGTAATATTATTTCATCACCACTCCCAAATGGCCTCTTTCCTTTAGGCTTTTACAGGCTGTCCAAGTTTTAATCAGTGTATGTACATGTTAATATCTGTTATTCTATTGTATTCTGTCTGTAATAAATAAAGGTATTAAACTGTTGTGTACACATTAAATATTTATTTTAAGAGAGATCTCACCTTCCAGATACCTTTACCATTTATATTAATAATAGATTTCTTCATTTAGTCAAGATATTTTTGATGTACTTCAAGAAACAGAGCATTTAATTCACAGTAGTCAATATTGTTGACATACATTTTCCGTTTGTAGATCATTCACATATTGCAGAGTTACTGAGGTCCATAAAATTTATATTATTTATTATACAGAGAGCCAACCTCAGTATATCAAGAAAATTGTAAATATACTTTGATACAGGCTCAGAACTTAACTGAAGGAAGACATTAATGTTGAAGTTTTTATGATAACTTACACTACCATATCTTCCTATTTAAATATAACTTTGATTTGCAGATTTTATTTTTCTGGTACAGGGTTCTCCTTTCCATGCCTGCATTTAGTAAAAATGATGATGCCTTAGCTTGCAAGTTGGTGACAGCATACCCTGGTAATGCAGATAAAGGATTACCATCTATTCTTGGGACTGTGTTGCTTTTTGACCCAACAACTGGTAAAGTTTCTGCTGTATGTAGATCTGTTCCCAATAATGCATGGTTCATTTCATGAATAGTGTGATTTTCACTTTACAAAATATTTATTTGCACAAAAAAAAAATGGATGTATTCAGCAACGTTAAATGGATGAGAGTTACAATTCATGCTTGTATTTGCATAGTCAGTTTTGGGTTTATTTGTGGTGATCAGTCTTTCTTAAACAGATTATGGATGGTACTGAAATTACAACCTGGCGCACCGCAGCTGCCTCAGCTGTTGCGACAAAATATCTACACAATGGGACTGCAGTTTTGGCCATTTTGGGCTCTGGTACACAGGCACAGAGTCACGCAGAAACCTTGGATTATTGTTTCGGTTTTCAGCAGGTTACGTATATATTGCATTGAAAAACTAGCAGTACATCCATAGAGTATCCTGTAAATCTGGAACTGTGGAAAATGTAAATGTTTTGTTTGTCACAGCTGTAAATGATGTCACTGAGTAAAGATGAATGGACTGCCTCTGTGGTCTAGTGGTCAGAGTTCTTGGCTACAGATCCAGAGGTCCGGGTTCGATTCCTGGCGCTACCAGATTTTCTGAGAAGTAGTGGTTCTGGAACGGGGTCCACTCAGCCATGTGAGGATAATTGAGGAGCTGTTTCAGAAAACTGAAATTAACGGTCATGGGGGGTTTGTTGCACTAAAGATGCAACACCCTCTATCCACTAAAGTTCACACTAACTTCGCCAACAAGCAGTGGTCGCTCAGTCGGTATAGTTCGCTTGTGGACTAAAACCACGGCATTTTTTTTTTAGTAAAGATGGATGTGTGGAAGTAATTAGTAAAATATACTGCCATGTGTAAGGGTGACTTATAGGAGGGGGTTTTGGATTCTATTTTTTGACACCTTATTCACACAGTTCGGGACTACAGGCAATACAGCACTACCACTATTCTACACACTTCCAGTTCACCATTACACACGCACTAAGGTTCTCAATCTTCACTAGTCATATCCTGGCAACAGATTTTCACACAGTAGTTATATAAGTCTCACTGTCACTTCAAATCACACATGAAGTCTTCTTTTCACAGCCAAATTTATTTCTTGCCATTATTCTGCAACTTGCTAATTCCGAAGACTCGACTCAGTTCAATTCCTCTGCTCTTAAGCTCATATTCTGGCAGGCTGGTGTCTCAAAACTGAACCCTGTTCTACACTACTCTATGCTACCAAACACTTCTTTGTAACCACTTTGAGTGGACCATGCAGGAAACAGCCCCTCTTGTTAAGGAGGCATGTTTATTAATCCTACCTCATTTAGCCTGTGTTCCTTTGTTTGAATCTCAGCTGGCAGAATGGTTCTCCTCTCTCTCACAAATTATGGGATAGTACATCAGGCTACTACTGTATCCTTCCAAATCCTTTCCAGTTCATCATTCATCTAACAGTACATATGCTAGGTGCTGAGAAACAAACTCCATGGTCTTTTTAGTCTGCATCCGAACTATACTGATCGAGTGACCGCCACTTGTTGGCGAAGTTAGTGCAAACTTCAGCAGATAGAGGGTGTTGCATGAGCAGCGCGATGAATCCCCATGGCCGTTAATTTCGGTTTTCTAGACTGGAGCTGCTATTTCCTTGAAATAGCTCCTCAATTAGCCTCACAAGGCTGAGTGGACCCCGTTCCAGATCCACTACTTCTCAGAAATTCTGGTAGCACCGGGAATTGGACCTGAACCTCTGGATTTGTAGCCAGGAACTCTGACCACTAGACCACAGAGGTGGACAGGCAGCATCATTAAATAACTCACAAAGAAAATAGAACTCCCATGATGGGTGACTGACTTGTCACAATGCGCTTCACAATATCTGTGCAGATGATGAATGCTATTATGAGAGAGTGGGAGGGGAGGTGAGGGAAGGTGCACACATGCCAGTTTCTTCTGTTACTTGTCGGAACAGTATTGGTTCATTTGGTAAACACGTGTTTAAGTGTATATCTCATATACCAGTCATACCAGTGGCACTTCAAAGTGCTGTATGAGAAGCAAAACAGTTACACAGTTATTCAGTTACAATGTTTGGCAATATCTATAGTCAAAATTTGTTCAGTATTTCTTTTTCAAAACTTAGTTTTTTTTTTTGACAACACTGATGAATGCATTTAGAAAATATAATTTGATTTATTTAAGCCAGTATACCATGGAATACTTAGACATTGGAAAGCATGTATTCTATCATATAGTATGATAAACTACCAGTGGTATTTTTTTAAGTTTATTAAGCTTGCTGAAAATGGGAATAATGAAATAGATATCAGTGAAAGCCTCACTCACTCACTCAGGGAGCTGAGCCCTTCTTGACAAGCCGCCAATTGTTCAGCTACTCAAGAACTTACCAGCATTTTATGGAACCTGAAGGTTCATTACCATGTTCACAAAAGCCATCCACTGGTCCCTATCCTGAGCCAGATCAATCCAATCCATTCCATCTCTCTAAGAGCTATTTTACTATTGTCCACCCACCTATGTCTTGGTCTTCCCAGTTGTCTCTTTCCTTCTTTGTCTCCCCCATTCATGCTACATGACCTGCCCATATCATCCTCCTTGACTTGATCATTCTAATCATATTTGGAGAAGAGTACAAGTTATGGAGCTCCTCATGTACTATTACATAAAATATTTAATACTTTTTAACAGCTGCATATACAGCATCTGTAAGGGACAGCATAAGGTACCTTTTCAGATCCGGATATGGAATCACAGGTTTGAGAAGGCACAGAAGCTGACTGAGGAGCTTATAGAGAAAGGGAAGTCTGCAATAGCATATCAGAGTGCTGAAGAATGTGTGAAGAATGCTGATGTAATTGTCACAGCAACATTTGCCTCCTCTCCGATTCTCAGGGGAAAGTGGATCAAACCTGGAGCACACATTAATGGTACGTGAAAGCGAATATATATTTGGAAGTTAATATCCTTATACTCAGTTATTCTGATACACAACTGTCCAGCATTCGTTTTTTGACAAGTTATATTTGGGAAGAGTAGAATGGGTTAATATGTGAAAGATAGAAGGGAACAAACGTTTATCACAATTGGGACTTGACTGGATTGAAGAACAGCAAAAGATGATTCTGACAGGAGGAGGAGGCCTGGAAGTCTGCACAGAAGATGGTGGGCTTTGTGCTATGGAGAAAACAGGCCCTCTGGCCTAACGCAGAAGGAAAAGATGAAGGAGAAGAAAGTAAGATGATTTTAGAGTGACAGTAGAGGATTACAGATACAATAACAAAGAAATTAAGATCAGATTACATTTGTAGAATTATTACTTCATTTCAGAATCTCTTGTCCTTCTGTCTCCAATTTAAAAATATAAAGATTCAGATATACAGAACTATAATTTTAACTCTTTTGTTTGGGTGTGAAACTGTCTTCTAAGAGAAAAGCGTAGATTGAGAGTGTTTCAGAAGAGAGGACTGAAGAGAAAGGACGTAACATAAGGCTGGACGAAACTGCATTATGAGCTGCTTCATAATTTCCAGTCTTCATAGATATTATCAGGGTGATCGAATCAAGGAGCATTGAGATTGGGGGAGCACGTAGCACACATAGGAGTGAAACAGAATCATGAAGGGAAGGGACTACTTGAGAGACCTAGGTGCAGATGGCAGCATATTATAATGGATCTTAAAAGAATAAGATATGAGGGCATGAACTGGATTCACCTGGTTAAGAATAACAAAGCAATCACAGGCTACTATGACTATGATTTTGACTATTACAAGTCAAGACACTTCCTCATAATTTAAGTGTAAGACATAAGGTCATACAATGTGCTGTCAGTACAGACTCAAATCCTGAACACTGACTATCCTGACTGGAGATTTTTCATGGTTATCCTCTGACCTTCTATGCAGATACCTTAAACTATGCCATGACCACTTCCTTTTGCATCATTTCTAAGTCATTATTCACTAATCTTCCAATCATTTGATGCTATATAGTCTGAGTTTAGTTTCTTGCGGTGGGGTGAGACTGAGTCTGCTTGGTATGTTGGCCACTGTTTGGCCTGTTGTACAAGCCCTGGATGATAGATGATACGTGTGAAGCTGTTGGCGGAATGAGAATTGGCAGGGGAAACCGAAGTACTCAGAGAAAACCTGCCTCACTGCCATTTCGTCCACCACAAATCCGCATGACCTGACTTGGACCCGAACCCAGGATGCTGGCGACTAACCGCCCAAGCTATGGCACAGGCTATGTATATGTCAGAGTTATTGACAGTATCGCTACATAAACTATAACCAAGTCAAGATTTTAACAATTACAACAGATGAGTTTGTCTGTTGAACAGCTGTTGGTGCTGGCATTAACCATCACAGCGAATTGGATGCTGAGCTGTATCAGACAGCACACATCTATACTGACACCATGGCATCAGCAAAGACTGAACTCAAAGGACTGTTAGATCTTGGAATTACAATACAAGGAGAGGTTGGGGATATAATAAATGGAACCAAATCTGCAGAACGGGAGAGGATTACAGTCTTCCAGTCGCTCGGTAAGTTCGGTTCTCTCCATATTGAGCCACAATTTACCTTGTTCAACTTTATGTGCAAATGTGAATGTAGGTTGGGGTATATTAATACAGAAATTATAGCCATTTATACAGTTCACACACACACATATATATACATGGCTGTAATTTGTGTATTAATATACTCTAACCCAGTGCTTGAGGTGGAATGAAAATAGAACCGGGATGGTTTTCCCCTTTTAATTCATAGACATAAATTATGAAAATATACCGAGTGATGTATATAGTCTGTGTTCTATCTAAGACCTATGAACATATTACAGTAGTTTAAATGGCATGCATTATGAGTACTTATCTTTAGAATATTTTCCAGATGTTTTCATTGCTTTCTGAAGTCAGCGATCTTCTTTCTGTGGGGGCTGCACAAGACTGGTAATCTGCATGTCGATGTCCTTTCTTTAGCCATTGTTTTACATAATATTCTGAATCGAAAGCACTAAGAGGGGGTCCCACTGATGAAATAAACATTATACTATATGCTGTTTTTAAAAGCATCTAGCTTCGGATGGTTGAAATAATGTTGTTCATGTTGCTGAATGCATGCTCACACTCTGCAGTTGAAATAATAATAGTATTTGCAGCTGCAATCAATGGCTTTAGTTCATCAGGATACATGTCGTCACCATTCATTATATTCATGTAATATTCATGGAATCCATGAAATGAAGTTTTCTTACACACCATAAATGACTCAGCGAGTTCCCTAATCTCTTTATCAGCAAAACATGGATCTTGACATTTTACCCACTTAGCCTTATCCATTATTTTCAAGTTTTGCAGTAACTGACTGTATTTGTCCCTGTTTGACCATGTTGCGTTACTACTTCCAGTCGATTCATGTGAAGCTCTAGTGGTGAACATTCGGGTGTTTATATTGTCACTTAATTTCTGAAAGAATTGTTGTTCACTAATCTTCTGCACTTTTCCATGTTCTACGCTAACTCATTTAAATTCTAATTTATCAGCAGCCATTAGAACTTCAGAATAATATTCACCTGGATTATTTGCCATGGACTGAAAGACGTGATACTTAACAAGAACTAAATGATGTGCTTCAGGCAATGTGATTTTCTTTTCTTGTAATTTTAAAGACAGGTGTTCAAGTTCTGTTAAAGCATCGAACAGAAGTCCCATATTTAGAACAAAGTTTATGTCGCTTAGTTTTCTTTTCAATCCAGAATATTGAGCTCTCCCTTCCTGTGCGTTTTGGGTCTACAGATGCATTGTGAAAATGCTTATAAAGAGCGGGGTAATTATTCCATATGGCTCTCACAGACCGCGCTCTAGACAATACCCAACGTGTTGTTCCTAACACTCGTCCTATGGTATTTAATCTCATACTCAGTTGTGCAGCAACAGTTTCTAATTCAGATTTGTTCTTTGGAGACGCGCTGTAAACGGAATAGAGTTTATCAAAAAATGATTGCATGTGGCACACTGTTGACATTTCCCGTACTGTATCATTCACCGCTATTTCTAATCGATGATTACTACA